ATAATAATAATAAAATGTACGTTTTATGCTTGCCTTAACAGAACCTCTTTCACCGGTAAGATCTTAATTTGATTCAACGGGTTGTGATCCTCTAAGAGAAGCGGATCGTTTTTCTTTAAGGGGTTACTTAAACACATCTTAACCGTAGATGTTGATTTTATCGACGGTTGTGCTCCGAGGGGACGCGGATTGTATTTCTTTAAGGGGCAATATGGCCTTTTCAATTTAACAGTTACACAAACGGACTGAACTTATATTGCTTAAACACATCTCTACCGTACATGTTGATCTTATGGACGGTTGTGCTCGTAAGGGGCACGGATCGCTTTTTTCTTTAACAGTTTAAACAGAACCCCACTTGCTTTTTAACACATACTATTAAATTTAAATATAGGGTAAATTGCAAACACCCTAGAGTTATGGTCAAATTACAAAAACACCCCTCTTGTTTGGATAATTACAACCACCCCCTCAACTCCTCAAATTTAGTGGAATCTTCGAGATTATATGAAACATTATCACTTTTGTACCCGTTTTATCCCATTCAAACTCTACATTATGAAGCAAGATGATCATAATATGTGATTTTTAACTTGTATATATCAGTTTGTGGTGCATCGAAAACTGTATTTTTACACAAAACGAGTACAAACTAGAGCACATTTCACGGAATCTAGATGATTATGTTGAATTTGGCACCATAAGGATGGAGGTGTAAGAAAAAATCATAGTTGAAGGGGGTAGATGTAATTATCCAAACAAGAGGGGATTTTTTGTAATTTGACCATACCTCAAGGGGGTGTTTGTAATTTACCCTAAAATATATAATGAGTTGGGTTGGGCTTCTACATACCTTAGGCCTCGTTTGGTTACCTATGTGGGATTAAATGAGATTGAATAAATTGCCTACTAACTAATTAATTTGTTACTATATATGAATTTTGATTTTCTTGTATTTTCCAAGAAATATTTTCAAAACATATTTTGAAAATTTTCAATTATCCGAATTTGAACAAAAGATTATAAACTAATTCAATAAATATCTACTAATCTAAGATTTATTCATGCCTCGTTTGCTTAATTCTATTAAGTTCTATTAATTAAATGGTTAATCTCAAAAAAGCTCATAACTAGGGATGGCAGCGGAGCGGGTACCCTCGAAAAAGTGCAATACCAGAACCATTACCATTTAATATAGCTCAAACCATGACCATACCAAACCCATTTAAAAAGTTCATGGAAAAACCAGAACCATTACCGCGAATATCCGGGTACCCACGGGTACCCATTTACCATTTAAATTACGGTAATAAAAAATAACTTTGGGTCCGATAACGTTTAAGTAACTCTCAGAAAAGAGGAAGAAAAAAAGAAAAGAGAAAAAAAATATATCCTCCCTAAATTATTTAATACTTTATTTAAAATTTTGCCAAAATATCTTTTTTATTCATATTTTGTTGAATATATATATATATATATATATATATATATATATATATATATATTAAATGGTCGGGTACCCATGACCGTGAAGGTAAAACCAGAACCATACCAAAACCATGACGGTTTTCTTTTCTCTTACCAAAACCATTACCAAACCCTAATGGTTTCGGTAACGGGTTTTAAACGGAGCGGATACCCGCGGATAGCTACCGGTTCGGGTTTTTTTGCCATCCCTACTCATAACAAGGCCGCTTAATTAAACAAGTCACATCCAACTTTTTTGTCGTTAAAATATTTCCAGCCATTCAAACTTATTTGTAAATAAGGAAAACACTTTTATATACACCAAAATTACCCTTAATTCTTTGAATCCCAATTCAACTCCAATTTCATGATTTACACCACAATTTAGCCCAATTTCTCCAATTAACCAATTTGCCATAATTTCAATTTTGCCCAAATTTTAATTTTGACCCAAATTTTGACCTGCCACCACCAGAGACCGCCGGTCAGCCGCCGTTGCTTTTTTTTTTTTTTTTTTTTTTTTGAAAACAATTTTTTTTCAATTTTTTTCTGGTCGGTCAACCGGTGTTGACTTTTTTTTTTATTTTCTATAATTTTGTGTTTTCTTAAAAAAAATATTTTAATTAATATTACTGTATTCGCTGCTGTCTCTAGCAATTATTTTAATGTCGGAAACAGTAATTTAACTATTAATTAAGCTTTTTTTCTTCTTAAAAAGATATTTTAATTAATATTACTGTCTTGACTGCTAAATTACTGTCTCCAGCCGTTATTTAACTGTCGGAGACAGCAATTTAACTGTTAAGTGACTATTTTTTTTGAATATTTTAATTAATATTACTGTCTCCAGCAGTTATTTAACTGTCGAAGACCTGTTAATTGACTTTTTTTTTTTTGAAATTTTGTTTTTTCTTAAAAAAAATATTTTAATCAATATTGTTGTCTTAGATACTAAATTACTGTCTCCAACAGTAATTTAACTGTATGAGACAATAATATTACTGTATTACTTAATTATATTGTCTTGACCTGCATTTTTTGCGGTCTTCGACTATAATATTACTGTCTCCGACCGTAATATTACTGTCTCATGCAATAATATTACTGTTTGAGTCAGTAATATTAGTAATATTACTGTTCGGGAAAATAATATTCATAATATTACTATCCCAAATAGTAATATTACTGTCTGAGACAGTGATTTAACAGCCAAGATTGTACTATTAATTAAAATATTTTTTTCTAAAAAAAAAAAATAGTCAACGCCGGAGATTTACGGTCAACAACGGTTGACCCGCCGAAAAAACAAATTTACTTTCTGAAAAAAAAAATATTTTTTTCAAAAAATTATTAAAATGGGGGTTAATGTGATATATTTGTTTAAATGCGGGGTCAATGTGTAATATGAAGAAAGTTAGAGCATAATGGATGTAATTGATAAGAATTATTTATGGAGAGTATTTTAGATTAAATACATGGGGATTGATTTATTTAAAATACTATTTTTTTTTTTTTTTTTTTTTTTTTGGGGATCAATGTGCATTTAAGTCCCTTGTTATGTCCATTTTTGTCATTTGCCCTTTAATTAAATAGTAGAGATTAGTAAGATGTTTGGTTGATCAGAATCGTATTTAGTCTAGCGCCACTACACTCAAAGTCCGTAATTAAATATTATTATTTGGTCTTTCAAATAAATTCAGCTCATTCAAACTTATCTGCAAATAAGGAAAATTCTTTTATAAATACCAAAATTACCCCCACTTCATGAAACCCAATTCAACCCCAATTTCATCATTTGCACCCCAATTTAGCACAATTTCATCAATTAACCAATTTTAACCCTAATTTCAATTTTGACCCCAATTTTTTCTTTTTTGGAATTTTTTTTCTTGAATTTTGTTTTTCGGCCGGTCAACTGCCGTTGACCACCGGGTCTCCGGCACTGATTTTTTTTTTTATTGTTTTTCTTAAAAAAAATACTTTAATTAATATTACAGTCTTGGTTGCTAAATTACTGTCTCCAGCAGTTACTTAACTGTTGGAGACAGTAATTTAACTGTTAATTGACTTTTTTTTTTTCAAAACTATTTTAGTTAGTATTACTGTCTTTGCTGCTAAATTACTGTCTCCAACAGTTATTTAACTATCGGAGACAGTAATTTAACTGTTAATTGATTTTTAATTTTTTTTAAATATTTAATTAATATTACTGTATTCGTTGCTAAATTACTGTCTCCAACAGTTATTTAACTGTCGGAAACAGTAATTTAACTGTTAATTGACTTTTTTATTCTGAAACAAAATATTTTTAATTAATGTTATTGTATTCGTTGCTAAATTACTGTCTTCAGCAGTTGTTTAACAGTCAGAACAGTAATTTAACTGTTAATTGACTTTCTTTTTTTTGAAATATTTTTTCTTAAAAAAAATTATTTTAATTAATATTACTGCATTGGACTGGTGATTGTATTGGTTAAACCATAAGATGTATTGTAGTATTCAATTATCTGTTTGTTTGTTTTTTTTTTTTTTTTTTTTTTTTTTTTTTTTTTACTTGTGAGTCCAAACTTAAGATAGCAAGTTCGATTATTGTATTGTATAGACGCTTGGATTAATTTATCGTTCTCACCAACTATTTTAGGGTATTACCCTCTAAGTTGGTTCTGAAAATTTGAACATAATCTTTGAATTTCGTTGATTTCGATCCAAAATTAAAGTGGACGACTCAATTTAATTTATACCTCTTGATGAAAAATAGATCTCTCAACACCTCAAGATGATGTTTATATCTTAGGGTCCATTTGGATGGAGGGATTTGAAAGAGGGATTTGAAATCCACAATAACAAATCTCTTGTACTTGTTTGGATTGAGAGATTTGATGATGAATTTCAAATTCCTTGTACTCCTTTTTAGTTGTTTTTGGAGCAATTGGTGTGAATTTCAAATGACTCCAAATTTGGAATCATTTCAAATCCCTTCCCCAAATCAAAACTCCAAATTTCAAAGTATCTTATGGAAAACACCATACTATGCATTATTTGGTTTTCAAAATTTACTTTATTTAACAAAAAAAATAATCATAGAAAGTATCAAACATTCGATTTTGACTGAAGCATTGTCGCTCGTACGGTTGTTGACTCTAAGTTGACTTAATAAATTCTTCGGTCCAATTAACGTAATAGTCGGTCTATTATATATCGGCCCATTTTTCTATTATATTACGGCCCATTATTCTATTATATATCGGCTCATTTTTAATCAGGCCCGTTCCGGAAAGATATTTAAAAAGCGGCCCGAACATCTCTCGGCAAAGTTAGTTCATATACAGATATATTTATTTTTTCTTTAATCAAATCAAATTAATTCATTCTTCAATCGAAAGGTTCTTGTATAAAAATTCAAGCTGTATGGAAGGAAAGCGTGTCCAAATTGATTCGAAAGTTCAACGCAAGGTTAGATTTCAGCAAAGCTTCTGCTATTCTATTTAATGTGGTGAAGCCGAAAGATTAAGGGTTTTAAATACCTATTTTTTGAAATTAAACTGCTGATATGATGCTCTAGCTATTTTCTTCAATTTTGAGGGTAGAAATAATATCTGGTGGGGATTTTGATTTATGATAAGCAAAATAATTTGTTTGTTATCTTGTTTGATTGCTGTACTAATAGATATTCTGTTTGTTATTATCTTGCTAGAAACCATCGATATTTTGGTGACTGATAGTACATCATATGTTATATCTGTTTTATCTTCAAGCTAAATTATGGGTGGGAAGCGAGTCAGAATTCATACCAATTTCAACCCAAGAAGCTTTCGATAAAGCTTCTGCCTTTATTTTTATTTTATTTTTCCAAATTTTGGCTCATGCTCTCTGTATACATGATGTATGTCTCTGCTATAAAATACCTATTTTTTGCTGTTAAACTAGATCCCTGATTTGATTTATGCAATAACCGATATCGTTTTCCCCCTCCTTCAATTTGCAACAAGATATCATGTTTCGTGGGGATTATGTTAATTTCCGTTGTCTAATAAAATCAGCAAAGGATTGGTAGTAGCGTGAGAATTAGAACTAAGAAGATTTTGCAGAGTATGGTATTTTGGTATAAGATTTTAGTCACAATGAACACTTAGAAGGGTGATTGAAGCTTTCCTCTCTTATTGCATTTTTGACCAGTGTCCTAATGCACTATTATCTTGTTTGACTGACAGTGTCGTAAGACAAGTTTTGTGGGGGGTGTTGATGATCGGGTAAGTCAGTTACCTGATGACATTCTTGCTGATATACTGTCTCGCCTGTCGCTCAAGGAAGCAGGACGCACTAGTGTTCTTTCGTCTCGTTGGATGAACCTGTGGAAACACACCAACTCTCTCAATTTTGACACTAAAAGAGAATCACACAAGCATTATGCTCAGCGCAAGTTACTCAAAAGAGATAGACGCAAGTACGTGAAATGGGTGAACTCCGTTCTCCGATCACACAAATCGACCGTCTTAAAAGAATTCAGAATCCGTTTTCCTTTAAACGCATCAGACAGAAATACAATCACTCAGTGGCTTGAATTTGCATTATCAAGACAAGTTCAGAAGTTGGAGTTGGACATTCAAAATTATTATGATCCAACCGAAGAGTATTGTTTCCCCAATGGGTTGCTGATCCCAAGCAGTTGCAGAGCATCTAAATTGCAACCCCCTTCAGACAACATTTGCATAGATCACCACCCTTGTATGCTTTTCGACTTTAAGTCCCTCAAAGCTTTGTCTTTTAAAAGTGTCGGTGTGAGTGATGGAGATATCAACTTCTTTCTGGATAACTGCCCGCAGCTTGAACAATTGATTGTCAGTCAATCGAAAAAGTTATCAAAGCCTGAAATTTGTGGTTCATCCCTCAAGTTAAAACACTTGGAGTTAGTCAATTGCTGCGGTTTGGAATCCCTTAAAGTTTCCGCGCCAAGTCTTACTTCACTTCGGGTTACGAGTTTAGACGGGCTTTTACTTGAGAATGTTCCAATGCTAGTTGACGTATCTATTAGCTGTGAGGATGGCAATCTTTCAATACAACATTTATTTTGTTTACTGTCTTGCTGCATTTCTCAATTGCAGACTCTTTGCTTAACGCTGAAGAGGAGAGAGGGTAGAGGAGAAATAGACGAGCTTCCTAAAATGCCTAAACTAAAGAAGTTGGTCGTCGTATATCGTGCAAGTGGTCATGAAAATCTTAATAGACTAGCTGCTTTTATAAGGGCATCTCCGAACTTGGTGGAATTTGAGTTACAGGTAGGCCTTCTACTATATTGGTAGTTGCTCTTTCATGTTTTCCTTTTTCCTTCTCGATCAATAGATTCTTTCTTACTTTTTATCCTCTGGCAGTTTAAATGGTTTGATGCACTTTCGAGGAGAGATAGAGAAGTGAAAGATGCTATAAAGATTCTCCACCGCCACCTCAAAGTTTTCAAGTTTTGTGGCTACTATGGTGCTACCAATGATGTTGAATTACTCAGCTACATTTTAGGGAATTGCGTTGTTCTTGAGAAAATAATAATCGATCCCTACTTTACATGGTCTCGTGACAAATTACAAGTGGAAGAAACTGCAAGGAATAACGCCAAACAAAAGCTTGCACCACAAGTACCTCAACATATTGAATTGGTTATTCTATAAATTAAACCATATGATGTATTGTACTAATTTTTATACTTTTTAATTTTATTTATTTATGAGTTTAAACTGAAAATAGTAAGTTCGATTGTTGTATTGTAGAGACACTTGGAATAATTTATCGTTCTCACCAAATGTTTCACGGTAATCAACTCATGAGAGAAGACTAAATTATGAAAAAAGTCTTGCCTTTTAGTGTGATTTCATTTTATCTTCTTAACTGTGAAAGTTTGAGCATAATCTTTGAATTCCGCTGATTCCGGTCCGAAATTAAAGTGCACGACTCCAATTTAATTTATACATCTTGATGAAAATAGATCTCTCAACACTTCAAGTTGATGTTTATATCTTAGTGAACCACTGAACCTTACTGCAAACACCGTCCTATACATAATTATTATTTTTTTAAAATTTACTTTATATGAAAATAAAAAATCATAGAAAGTATCAAACATTAGATTTTGACGATTTGTTCGACCCTACACCCGGTGAAAAACACCGGGTGGGTCTTCTGCTGCCACGTGTCTCTTTTTTTTATTTTATAATAAATTGTCTTTTTTTTTATTTTATAATAAATTCCCTGCTAGGGTTTACCTTTAGGGGTTTTAGAAAAATAAAAAAAAGAACACGTGGCAGCAGAAAACCTACCCAGTGTTTTTCATCGGGTGTAGGATCGGAGGAACCAGATTTTGACCGAAGCATTTTGTACGGTTGTTGACTCTAAGTTGACTTAATAATTATTAATGTACTAGTCAGTCTATTGTATTTCGGTCCATTTTTTTGTATTATTTCAGCCCATTCGTCTATTATATTGTTGGCCCATAATCCTATTATATTTCGGCCCATTATCAATTTTCAGGCCCGTTCCGGAAATATATTTAAAAAGATATTTTTGAGAAGGTAACATATATATATATATATATATACCGCTTTAATCGTATTCGTCTCCGTTTTGTGTCCGAAGATTGAAGCTAAATTATGGGTGGGAAGCGAGTCAGAATTCATACAAATTTTCAACCCAACAAGGTCAGCTTTCGAAAAAATTTCTGCCTTTTTTTTTTTTTTTTTTTTCAAATATCGGCTCTTTCTGTATATATATGCATGTTGTATGTCTTTGTAATAAAATACCTAATTTTTTTCTGGTACAGTAAATCCCTGATATGATTTTCAGATATGGTTATTCCTTATCCGATATTGTTTTTTCCCTCCCTCAATTTGCAACAAGATACCTTTGTGAGAATTAGTTCTAATGTACTATTATGATCTTGTTTGAATGACAGTGTTGTAAGAGAAGGTTTGTGGGGGGTGTTGATGATCGGATAAGTCAGTTGCCAGACGACATTCTCGTTGATATACTTTCTCGCCTGTCGCTCAAGGAAGCGGGACGCACTAGTGTTCTTTCGTCTCGTTGGACCAACTTGTGGAAACACACCCCCTCTCTCAATTTCGACGTTGGACAAACTGTATTAGACAAGCTTTACGGACAGCGCGAGTTATTCAAACGTGAGAAACGCAAGTACGTGAAATGGGTGAACTCCGTTACTCGATCCCACAAATCTCTCACCTTAAAAGAATTCAAAATCCGTTTTGCTTTAGACAAATCAGCAAGAAAAGCAATCACTCGGTGGCTTGAATTTGCATTTTCCAGACAAGTTGAGAGTTTGGAGTTGGACATTAAAAGTGATCGTCATACCTCCACGGATTATCGCTTCCCCAATGAGTTGCTAATCGCATCTAAATTGCAACCCCCTTCAGACAGTGTTTGCATCGATCATCCTCGTATGCTTGTTGACTTTAAGTCCCTCAAAGAATTGTCTTTTAGAAGCGTTCAAGTGGGCGATGCAGCTATTGAATTCTTTCTACATAACTGCCCGCTGCTCGAAAAATTGATTGTCCATCACTCCGAAAAAATATCAAAGCTTGAAGTTTGTGGTTCATCCCTCAAGTTAAAACACTTGGAGATAGTCTATTGCTTCGGTTTGAAATCCCTTAAAGTTTCCGCGCCAAGTCTTACGTCACTTAAGGTTACGAGTTTAGACGGACTTTTACTTGAGAATGTTCCGATGCTAGTTGACGCATCTGTCAGTTGTAAGGATGACAGTATTTCAATAGAGCATTTATTTTCTGTACTGTCTTGCTGCGTTTCTCAATTGCAGACTCTTTGTTTGGATCTGACGAGGAGAAACTTTAGACAAGAAGTAAACGAGCTCTGCGAGCTTCCTAAAATGCCTAAACTGAAGAAGTTGGTCATCGTATATCTTGCCAGAGGTTATGAAAATCTTATTAGACTGGCTTCTTTTATAAGGGCATCTCCGTACTTGGTGGAATTTGTTTTAAAGGTAGACCTTCTACTATATTGGTAAATGCTCTTTCATGTTTCGGTTTTTTTCTTTTCTTTCTAACTACTTAGAAAAGCACCTAAAAATGAACCCACTACAGTATTGGGTACCTCTCTTTAATCTTTAGAGAGCATAGAAAACGTAATAGTATGACTACTTATCCATCACTCCTGCACGTCGAAAGTGAGCATTGGCTCTTGTAGAGAACAATTGTTGGAACATATATATAATAGTTACCATTTTTTCCAAGACATCATTCAAAGCTAACCAATACTAGTTTCTTCTTGCTTATGCGAACATGTTCGATGTTTTCTTTATTTCGACTTATATGATTTATTCACTTGGTGTCTGAAGTAGGGGTGTAAATGAGTCGAGCATGGCTACTTTGGTGAGCTCGGCTCTTCAGGAAATTCACGAACAACTCAGAAAAAGCTCGAGCTGGAGTTCAAACCGGCTCATTAAGCTCATGAGTCTATTCAGCTCATTTACACCCCTAATTTGAAGTAGACCTTATTTTGTATTAAAAACGCATTTAACAGCAGTAAATTCTTAATTTTTATCTCTATATGCAGTTTCAATGGTATAAACTTCCGAGGAAAGATAGAGAAGTGAAAGATGTTGTAAAGATTCTCCACCATCACCTTAAAGTCTTCAAGTTTTGTGGCTATTATGGTGGCACCAATGATTTTGAATTCCTCAGCTACATTTTGGGGAATTGCGTTGTTCTTGAGAAAATGATAATCGATCCCTACTTTATATTGTCTCGTGAAAAATTACAAGTGGAAGAAACTGCTCGGAAGAGCGCAGAACAGAAGCTCGCACCAGAAGTACCTCAACATATTGAACTGGTTATTCTATAACTTAAACCATAGGATGTATTGTAGTATTCAATTCTCTGTTGTTTTTTTTTTTTTTTTACTTATGAGTTCAAACTTAAGATAGTAAGTTCGATTATTGTATTGTATAAGACGCTTGGATTAATTTATCGTTCTCACCAACTATTTCGGGTATTACCCTCTAAGTTAGTTCTGAAAGTTTGAACATAATCTTTTAATTTCGTTGATTCCGATCCAAAATTATAGTGGACGACTCCAATTTAATTTATACCTCTCGATGAAAAATAGATCTCTCAACACCTCAACTATATCTTAGTGACCCTTACTGAAAACACCATACTATACATTATTCTTTTTTTTCAAAATTTACTTTATTTGAAAAAAAAAATCATAGAAAGTAGTATCAAACATTAGATTTTGACCGAAGCATTTTGCACGGTTGTTGATTCTAAGTTGACTTGCTTCGGTCAAATAAATGTACTAGTCGGTCTATTATATTTCGGCCCGTTGGTCTATTAAATTGTCGGCCCATTGTCTTATTATATATCGGCCCATGTTTAATTTTTAGGTCCGTTCCAGAAAGATATTTAAAAAGCGGCCCGAACATCTCTCGGCAAAATTAATTCATTTACAGATATATATATTTTTTCTTTAATTTATCACTCATTTTTACTGCAATGGAGAGGTTCTTGTATAAAAATTCAAGCTATATGGAAGGCAAGCGTGTCCAAATTGATTCGGAATTTCAGCGCGAGAAGGTTAGATTTGAACAAAGCTTTCTGCTTTTTAATGTGGTGAAACCGAACGATTAAGGGTTTTTTTTTTTTTTTTAATACCTATTTTTTGAAATTAAACTGCTGATATTCTTTGGTGATATGATGCTAGCTATTTTCTTCAATTTTGAACTAGAAATAATATCTGGTGGGGATTTTTATTTATGATAAGCAAAGGGTGAGTATAATATTTTGTTTGATTGCTGTACTAAGAGATATTTTGTTTGTTATTATCTTGTTTGATTGTTGTACTAAGAGATACTTTGTTTGTCATTAAATTGTTTGATTGACAGTGTGCGAAGATTATTTTTGTGGGCAATGATGGTGATCGAATAAGTCAGTTAACGGACGAGATTCTCGTTGATATACTGTCTTTGCTAACGCTCAAGGAATCTGCACGGACTAGTGTCCTTTCGTCTCGTTGGATCAACCTGTGGAAACACACCCCCTCCCTCGTGTTCGATGCTCAAAGCGCATTAGACAGGATTGCCAAACGACACAAGTTACTCGAGAGTGAGAGACACAAGTACGTGAAATGGGTGAACTCCATTGTCCGATCGCACAAATCGACCACCTTAAAAGAATTCAAAATCCGTTTCGACCTGGACAGGTCGTCCAAGAATTCAATCACCCAGTGGCTTCAGTTCGCGTTCGACAGACAAGTTCAGAGTTTGGAGTTGGACCTTGACAATTATGGCGATTCTTCCAAGTATTACCGTTTTCCTCAAGAGTTCCTTACATTAAGCAGTTGCATAGCACCTAAATTGAAACCCCCCTTCGACATTTTTCGCATCCATCACCCACCTGTGCTTGGCGATTTCAAGTCCCTCAAAGAATTGTCTTTTAGATGTATTGATTTCAGTGATGGAATGATCGAGTTCTTTTTGCATAACTGTCCTTTACTCGAATGTTGGAATGATCGAGTTCTTTTTGCATAACTGTCCTTTACTCGAATGTTTGGTTGTCCATGAATCAGATAAAACATCGAATCTCGAAGTTTGTGGTCCATCTCTCAGGTTAAAGCACTTGGAAATAGTCAGTTGCTTCGGTTTGAAATCACTTAAAGTTTCCGCGCCAAATCTTGCTTCACTTACGGTTACGAGTTTAAAGGGACTCTTGCTTGAGAATATTCCGATGCTAGTTGATGTGTCTTTTAGTTGTCACGACTGCTTTATTTCTGTGAAACGTTGGTTTTCTCAACTGTCTTGCTGCATTTCGCAACTGGAGATTCTTTGCTTGGACGTGACAAGCCTACGACGGGTTAGTCAAATAAGAACTTATAGCTGATATTTTATTTCCGGTTTTGATTTCTATGTATATTAATTGCTTCTTAAATGTTTGTAGTCTGATTCAAAAATAAGTGAGCCGTTCGAGTTTCACCTGCGTAAACTGAAGAAGTTGGTCATCGAATATGATCCAACAAGTGATGAAAGTCTTGTCTGGCTGGCTGCTTTGATACGGGTGTCTCCTTACTTGGAGGAATTTGTTCTAAAAGTAGGTCCCGTACCATATTGCTATTTCCTCTTTCTTGTTGTTTCTTTATTTCGTTTGTGGAGCCATAGAATCTTATTTTTTCTCCGCTTGTGCAGTATGAATGGTACGAACTTCCGAAGCTAGATAGAGAGATGAATGATCTTATGAGATTTCCACACCGCAACATTAAAGTGTTCAAGTTTTGTGGCTATTATGGTCGCTACAGCGACGCTCGATTAGTCAAGCTCGTTCTGGAGAACTGTCCTGCGCTCGAGAAAATAATAATTGATTCGTCAATATCGCCCGAAATTGACGGAGTGGATGTGGCACAAAACAGAAGGAAGGACCCAAAGGAACAACTTGAACCATATGTACCTAACCACATTGAATTGGTTATTCTTTAACAATGCAGTTGCTCCAGTCGAGTGTTTTCACGCATGTATCCGAGGAGGGCGTTTGTTTAACTGGTATTCGAAGATGAAGAATATGAAATCGAAGATTATTAATGTAGTCGGCACCTACTTATGAGGAGAACAAAAACATTTGATCCTCAATATCAAATATATACTAAATCTTCTAATGGTATCTTTTTTTCTCATTTTAATTATATAGTTAAGCTTAAATTTCTATAAATTAATACAGTCGGAACTATTAAAATTCTATGAATTATCAAACTAATAATTAAATATATTTTAACCGAGTTGGGACCATAAAATAATATTATTATAGTGAAATTATTAATTTTTTGGGTATTGATTAATCGAGTTTCTACTCTTCGTACTACTGAATAGTTCATTAATCATTGACACACAAGCCCCAACTATAGCTATTAAGTTTGGAAGTTAATCTTGATCCAAATCTTTGAACTCCTTAATAATTTGGGACTATTAGTGAGAACCCCCTCCACCTTTATTTTAATAAGGATGGATTCAGCTCCTTTTTCTTTATTAGTGGGAGACCCATCCTTTTTTTATTCTCAAATTTACCCTTCCTCTATTCACTACCTATTATAAACTACTTTGATACACTTTTATTTTTTTATTATTTTGTATTTTAATTTTAATTTTAATTTATTTATTTATTTCTTATTCAAAAAAAAATATTTAAAAAAAATATTTTTTTAACTTTTTTATTATATTTTTAAAAAATATTTTTTTACTATATTTTTTTGTCTTCACTTAAAACAACTATATTTCAATAAAACAACTATTATTAAAACAACTGTTATTAAAACAATATGATTAAAACAACTATATATCTCCAACAACTCTCATTTATCAAAATCAACTATTACATTCAACTAAAAAGTAATAAAAACAACTATATTGCTGACGAAAACAACTATATTGTTGTGCGAAAACAACTATATTGTTGTACGAAAACAACTATATTGCTGTACGAAAACAACTATATTGCTGTACGAAAACAACTATATTGTTGTACGAAAATATCTATAAATCTGTATATAACACCACACAATTTCAACAAAAACAAAACCTACATTATACTATTGATTGAACACAAAATTAGCCTTCTATATAAGAATTCAACCAAAAACTCCAATTAAGAAAATTAAGATTCGAGAATTGGATTCAAAAAAAAAATCAGAGAAGAAGAAGAACAACAACAATGAAACAATGGGGCGGTGGTCTGTATTGAAATCTCAGACGCAATATCAACCCTAGCGCCGCTGCATAATCTCGTCTTTCTCCCTAGCGAAAACCCTAACGCCGTCCTTGACGAGAGAATCTCAGGGGTGAAGACCATCTTTTTTTCGCGTCGGTGGAGGGAGGAACGCCGTTTGGAGAAGAGAATAACGATGGCGGCGCAGAGATTGAAGAGGGTTGGAGGCGGTGGCAGAACACAGATGGAGGAGAGTTGGAGGCAGCCGATATGTAGAGAGAAAAGAGAGAGAAGAATAAGAGAAATAGAGAACGTGAAATATGTTTAATTATTTTAGATATAATAGGGCAAATTAGGTATATTAGTAATGTCTAAAATAATATTAATTAAAAAAATATTATTTAATATAAGGTGGGGGGTTTTCACTAATAATGAAAAGGAGGTTATATCCACCTTAATATAAGTAAATGAATTGGGGGGTTTTCACTAATTATCCCTAATAATTTTCATAATCTTTATTAAATTAAACAATTAGCTTTTCACATTTTACTTTCTTAAAAGTGGGAGAGCAACAAGAATATATGTAATATAAAATAAGGGCAAATTACAGCTACCCCGAGGTATGGTTTAATTATGAAAAAATCCCCACTTATTTGGGTAATTACAACCACCTTCTCCTTTTAAATATTTTTACTTAAAATTTATGCAATTGGTTACTTACCGAACCAAATCGTATATTTAGTTCGGTAAACGGTATCGAATGTTGGTGTACCGAAATTTCGGTTCAATTTTACCGAAACGTCCTTAAATTTACCTCTGAAGGGGTATTTTCGTAAGATAATACATAGTTGAGTGGATGGGTGTAATTACCCAAACAAAAAGAGTTTTCACAATTCAACCATAACTCAGACGGTACCCCGTAATTTTAAGTATAATCTATAAACCTCGAATCATAAAAAACAAGCATCTATAAATATAAATTTATATTGATAGAGCGGTGGTAAACGAGTCGAGCCGACTCGTGAACCTGATGAACCGGCTCGAAAAAACTCGAACTCGGACTCGAGATTTTTCGAGCTCGAGCTTTATGACGAGTCTAGCTCGAGCCAGTTCTTAGTTGTTCGTGAGCTCACGAGCCGGCTCGCGAGCCTGCCAAAAGAGGCGAGCTCGGCTTGTTCACACTTAGGGGTGGTGAACGAGCCGAGCCGACGAGCTCAATGAGCCGGCTCAAACTCTGACTTGAGTTTTTCGAGCTCGAGCCAGTTCTTAGTTATTCGTAGGCTCGCAAGCCTTATTTATTATTTTTTATTAATATTTTTTTATAATAAATAATGTGTAATAATATAAAATATTAATAGAAATAAATAAAAATAAAATATAAATATTAAAAACACAAATAATTACAATTTATTGTATTTTGTAATTTTTTAAAATAATTTTTAATAATAATAAAATTTTAATTACAAAAATATTAAAAAAAAAAAAAGAATACACAACAAAATGAGCTTGGGCTCGAGCTAGACAAATTGGACAAAAGCTCGAGCAAAAACAAAACAACTCGACCAGTTCGAGCCTGCCAAAAAGGTGAGCTCAGCTCGAGCTCACCTCGTTCACACCACTTTAATCACAGTACATCGTTGCACAATAACAACCTCGAACTTAAAAGTATCACAACTATAAAAAATCTAACTTATAGAACAATCAATTCAATACAATCAATTCAATGTGATTGGTAGTTGTCCTGCAAGCTGTTGTTTTGTGTTCTTCCTCGCGTTTCTTTCCACATTTAAGTCGTCTCCTGCTATTGATCCGCTGGGATCGATAATTAATTTATCAAGCACACGACAATTGTCTACAATATAGCGGACTAATTCAATTTCATTTGTGCGACCATAATATCCACAAAATTTGAAGACTTTAAGGTGATTGTGAGGAAAAACTATTTCATCCTTCACCGGAAAACTTATAGCATCCTTCACTAATCCATCTCTGCTTCGAAGATCGTACCATTTGAACTGAATTTCAACAAAGTTAGCTCTACTTGATGTATTAATCTCCTAAAGGTTAGATATTTTCATAATAGCAGTTTTTTTTTTTTGAATAATAGCAGTTAGTCGTACCTTAAAAACAAATTCCTCCAAGTAAGGAGATGCCCTTACGAAAACAGTCGTTTTAATCAGATTTTCAACCCCTTGACCAAAGTATTCTATCTCCAACTTCTTCAGTTTAGGCAGTTGAGGAAAAATGCAGGGCTTACGTGTTCCCTGTGAAATAAACCAAAAACAAAGATTAATTAATAGATAATGTCTTAAATGAAACGAGACAGAATTAACAGGACTTTGGCCTAACCAGTAGAGCCCCAGACTAAGTCTAAGTATCTTCAATTGAGAAATGCAGCCGCCAGACAGTGCTGAAGATAAGTTTCTGAAGTTAGTATAGTCAGCGGAACAATTAACAAACATCTCAACCAGCATAGGAACATTCTTGATCAAGAGTCTTTCTAATATCGGAACTGCAAGTGAAGTAATACTCGGCACAGAAATCTCGAGGGATTTCATATTGTAGCAACAGTGCATGTCCAAGTGTTTTAACCTAAGGGATGAACCACAAATCTCAAGCTTTGATATTTTTTCTGAGCCGTGGACAATCAACTGTTCGAGCAAAGGGCAATTACGTAAAAAGAAGTCAATATCTTCATCGGTGACATTAAGACATTTAAAGGAAAGTACTTTGATGGACTTAAAATTGTTTGAAAGTGGTCCTTTAAGGGTCAAGAACTTTTCAGGGAAACGATAATAATAGGATGCATCATGATAGCCATAAAAGTCGAACTCCAACTTTTCAACCCGTCTAGAAAATGCAAATTCAAGCCACCGAGTGATTGCATGTCTGTTTTTTCTATCTAAAGTAAAACGAACTACGAATTCTTTCAAGGTGGGTGCTTTGTGTGAGCGGATGACGCAATTGACCCACCTCACAAAATTGCATTTCTCAACATCGCGAACCGCGAAAGGTGGAAAGGTGCATTAAGGTTGAGAGAAGGGGTGTGTTTCCACAAGTTTATCCAACGAGACGAAAGAACACTTGTACGTGCAGATTCCTTCACCGGTAGCAATGATAGGATACAAACAAGAATGTCGTCGGGCAACTGACTTATCCGATCATCAGCTTCGACGTATCTCTTTGCACACTGTCAATCAAACAAGACAATAGCAAATCAATCTCTAAGTACATCATCATTCGAAAAAGATAATAGCAAACCAATCTCTTAGCACACTATCAAACAAGATAATAAAATACTCTTTTACATAAACAATTTCTAGTTCTAGTTCCAAAGGTACAAACTTTTGTTTATTTTATCAAAGCAATCAACTTTCGATAATAATACACTATCAAAGCAATCTCTTTTATCCAGAGGAAATTATCACCACAAATTTGTTTTTTTCAATGCAAATTGAACAAGAACAGAAAAAAAATAAAAAGGAAACAAGTTTCAATATCTAATAATCAAATCAGCAAACAAAATTAGGGATTTAATTACAAGCTCACCTTCTTGGGCTGAAAATTCGAAACATATCGGAATCGCTTCCGATCCATCGAAGATTTAATGAAGCGTGGTTTGTCTAAATTATGTACACTACGCTATACTTAAATATTAAATTATGATTTTTTTTTTTTTTATTAACTAAATTCATGTCCGCTCAGCCCATCGGCCCACTGTTTTCACGGGCCGATCGACCCGGCCCAGAGAGAGAGAGACACCATGAGCCCAGCCCGGCTTCTTAGCCGATTTTATCCTATTTTGAATAACTCAAGGGGTTTTCGTAATTTTACCATAACTCAGGGGGTTGGCCGTAATTTGCCCTAAAAATAATTTAAAGGGAAAGGGGAAATAACCAAATATACCTAATGGAAGTAGAAAAATTGACCGGTCCATCTCCGAGGAAGTAAACGACGCCGTTTTACGTTACCTTGCCCTTTTTCTTCCCGTCTCCGTTTTTTAGATTCTCTCAAGTTACATGCACACTCAACTCCCTTCTCACCTTCCTCTTTTTCTCTCTGCAGTTCCAATTCGTACAATTCCTTCAATTTCTTATGTATATCTGTTACCTCTCCCTCCATAGTTTATAGATCTCACAATTCAAACGCAGCCAATGGCGTCGGTTTCTTCGGGTCCCCGAACTGTTGAGGAGATCTTCAAAGATTACAGCGCTCGCCGTGCTGGAATTATTCGTGCTTTAACATTTGGTACTTCGCGCTGCGCCATTTGTACAACAATTTGTTCCAACATTTTTTTTTTTGACATACACTTGATTGTTTAATTTTATTTTTTCTGTTTGTGTTTTTTTTTTCCAGATGTGGATGAATTTTATGGACTTTGTGATCCAGGTAATACGTTTTTCAGTTCAGATTCAGTTAAAGTTTACTTCGTAATTTTGAATTCAGGTCCTTATCTTTATGTGCATGAATTTCTTGGCTTTTTTTTCACTTCGATTTTAGTTTTTGCAATTGGGAAAGTAAATTCTTTGATGTATCTTCCTGATTAGGTTTTTCCTGCTAGTTTGAAGGTTAATTAGTTTAATTCAAGGAATACAAGGTTTATAACTTTGAATTTGCTTTCTTTGAAGATATGTTTAGCTAATTTGTTGTTAACAAGGAAAGCTGGGGGATTTTTTTTTTTTTCTTGCAGCTTTCAGCTTAACTAATACCTCAAATTGCAAATTGATTCAGCAGCAATTTTTTTGTTTTTCGTCTCTGTAGATCCTTGTTATGATTTCTTGTTTTAGAGACGTTTCAGTTTCGGTAAATCATTATACAACTTTCAGCAACTCGTATTCGATATTATTTTCCTATTAGTCTTCCAATCAATTACTAAGGTTCATGAAGCTCGTTTATATACAATTATAAACACGGCATTGTGTCAATTTAAAGAGCCGTTTCAGCATTTCATGTAACTTGCATGGTATATCAGTTTCATTATCCCTTTATTTTATTCTTGATTTGGTTTTACTAACTTATTAATTTTAGAGAAGGAGAATTTGTGTCTATATGGACACTCAAATGAAACTTGGGAAGTGAATCTTCCAGCTGAGGAAGTTCCTCCCGAGCTTCCAGAACCAGCACTTGGGATCAATTTTGCTAGGGATGGAATGAACCGAAGAGATTGGCTTTCTCTAATTGCTGTTCACAGCGATTGTTGGTTGCTTTCTGTGGCTTTCTACCTTGGTGCCAGGTTGAACCGCAACGAAAGGTATATACTTTATGCTCTTGAAAACCTCATTTAACAGTTTCTCAATGGACATATGATGATTTATTCTTCTTATCATGTCCTTGGCTTTCACGTGAATTTGGTGCTGCATTAAGAAGTCTTTACGTTGTTTTGGTGAATTTGGAACAGTAATTTTGACGTGTCAAGTCACATCAACTTATACCTTTTCTTGGCCTACTTTCCGTTCTTCTAAGAGTTGAGATTATGAAATCTCAATGTTCTATGTTATACGGTGAAAGAGCAAATGCATAAGTTTTCCAAGTTGTCACAAGGTTTGTATGAGTAGATCCAGTTACATGATTTTTGGTTCTGGTACATTAAAATCCTTATGACAACATTGATTTGGTTGCTCAAAGAAAATGAGCTATGGTCAATAAGTTACTTCACTGTTATTTCTGAATGTTGCTTCTCTGACTTATCTTACCCTTAGGTATCATTTGGTGATCTTTTTCATGATTAGCTCTTCATCCAGTTCACACAACAACCATTTTTGCCGAATCTTGTTTGTAGTCTTTTTGTATGATTTGCTATTAGATAGCCGTGTGGAAGCACAAATAAATAAATAATAATTACCCGTGCTTTTTCCTGATTGAGAAGGCCCTAGCATTTGTTAATGACTAACAAATATGCTATGTGAAAAAAGAAAAGTTCGGATGTGCTGTGATTTATGAATAAAAGGCTCGAAAAGAAAACTGAACGTGTCAGATGAAGTGCTAACCATGGAATCAAAGGTCATGCATGAAGTATGATATATAATTTGGGGTCCCTATATTCACCTCATTTCGGTTAATCATTAAGCATGTGATCTCTCTTAGGTCATATCTTTATCGAGGGATTTAAAGAAGTGTTTTTGCTGGAATTGCAACCTTAGTTGTACTCTTTCTCCTAATTTTTGCCATCATCGAGTTTGGGCAGAGCACGTTTGATTGAATATGGAATATTTCTGGTAGTACATAATATGTTCACTGTACTCTCAGGAAGCGCATGTTCAGCTTGATGAATGAGCTGCCAACTGTCTTTGAAGTTGTTACCGAAAGGAAGCCTGTAAAAGACAACAAACCTAATGCCGATAGCGGAAGCAGATCTCGTGGCAGCACAAAGGTATGATTCTCTCTTATCTTGACTAATTACTGTTCAATCTTTCTTCCTCGGCTTTATATTCATTTATCTAAATCTTCAGGTATTAAAATTTAGTCCCTTTATTTGATTCTTGAAATTGAACACGAAGATTGTGTCTATTTGCAGAGATCAATTGACGGTCAGCCTAAAAGCAACCCGAAGCTGGCGAACGAAGGCTTTGAAGAAGAAGAAGACGAACACAGTGAAACGCTATGTGGGAGCTGTGGTGGAAATTACAATGCGGACGAGTTCTGGATCGGGTGCGATATCTGTGAGCGATGGTACCATGGGAAATGCGTAAAGATAACACCTGCGAAAGCCGAGAGCATCAAGCAATACAAATGCCCTTCCTGCATTAAACGGGGCAGGCAGTAATGATGCCCCTACTAATTCGACTAAAAGTATTATTTAGTGTTTATTTTCTATGACTGACAGAGTATAATAGCATTTCTTACCGTGTAGTGGATATCTTTATTTATGTCGATAAGAACTCCCGTTATGAAGGATGAACGCTTTCGTCTTCAGCAGTAGGTGATTTGCTTCAAATGTTGTAGCTATTATGTTTATGTTTATACTGAGATTTGTTGGGTTTTAATTTTATCTAATGCCCGTTTATTGCTGGCATTTTTTATTTTTTTTATTGATGATTGTCTTTGTATTTAATGAAGCTTTTTCTATGGATGATAATATTTACTTATCGGGGAAAATACACTTTTCGTCCCTCAAGTTTACACCAATTTCATATTTGGTCCGTCATCTTTCAAAAAATCAATACTTTTAGCGTGTGCCCATCACTGTCTTAACTGATGAAATAACGGTAAATTTATTGAAATGAACAACTATACTTGAAATGAAATACATTTATTATTTTAAAAATCGTAAAATTACTCTGAAAATTGAAAAAAAAAAATATTTACCCCTAGAACTAACAACTGGTTGCATCAAATACTTGCCGCGCTAAGGGATGGGAGCCCTGGGGGCGAAGGATTTCGCCTATCAAATACTTGCCGCGCTAAGGGATGGGAGCCCTGGGGCGAAGGATTTCGCCTTTTGGTCGAGCATGTTGCAATATGGGCCCAAATCGTTGTAATTGTAACTTGGGCCCAAATCATTGCAATATGGGCCTAAATCGAAGCAATGGGGCCACGATTGTGTACAAGTCTCAACAGTCGTAATCGTGAACGAGCCGAAGTCAATAAAGTCGTTTAGTGGACCATATAAATCGTGGCAATTAGCACGTTTTAGGTAGATATGCATATACTTACTTTTCTCTTTTATTATTTTCTTTATCTTTCTTCATAGTTTTGTGGAATAAAGGTACACATATATTCCGTGCAAAATTGCTCGTGTCTCCACCAATTGTGTCATTTTCTTCATAGTTGTTGCATGAGAAAAGAATAATGATGTAATCATGTAATCCATTTTATTTTAAATTTATTATTTATATATTTTTTTAATTATTTTTCACTTTATAAATAAAGTAATGCATTGATTACTTTGTTTCCAATTTTACACTAATTACTCAAATTATTTCAAACACTAATTCTCATTTTTCTCACAACAAAACAAATATTGATGAAGAGAGAATTAAAAATAGGGATACTTCTGTCATATTGTTTCCTTAGTTCCTAAACAATTGTCTATTTTCTCATATGCACAAATATTAAGAAACTCAATAAATATGGCTTGATTTTAGTAAATTCATATGAAAATGACTAAAATAAGCTTTATTATTTAATAATTTATAAGAAATATTTAATATTTATTATATTTAACACAGTATTGAAATTATAAAATAACAGATAATTTGAAACAAAAATATTAAACAAAATTGACAGTTAATTGTGCAACATAAGAAGTATTCGTTTTAAAACTTACATAATGTTATATTTTTTTTTTCATACGCACTCCAAATTAAACTAAAACGACAAATAATGTAAGATCTTATCGACAACAAACTTTTTAATGTAGTTAGTACAATTAATTAATATTTAATCACGAGGTTAGGCATATATAACTAGTTATAAAGGCAGACAAGTATAATTGATTGATTAATGCATTTGAGCAAATCCCACAGGAAATACTGAACCACATGAGTGTGACATTTGTGGAGGTACACTAAAACGTGCGATTTAATTTTAAGGTAGTCGACCATAAAATGACAGTTGGTTCAACATTTAGTCAACCCATTAAAGTGTTACACTAGCCAATTAATTACTCCCTAATTAATGAATTATCAATCCAATATTCCAATTTGTCCTCCTTTTCGAATAAGACAAATGAATAATAAAGTTTGCATAAACCTTACAAGTTGCCACAAATAAATAACTGCGCTTTTTATTATATTACATCAGGTGAAATACATCGGGTAAATTTAATTTTTTTATAAACACATAAACGTACATACGGGCATCCATGTTCGCCTGTGTAGGTCAACGATAATAAATCACCTGGTGTATATATATCTCCACCTTTTTTCACCTAGCTTCCAACATTTCTATCAAATACAATTGCATGCAATTAATGAATTAATACACTTTGATCTATTTATTATGAAAGATAGGTGAATTAATTATTGATGAAAAGGTGAAAAGATGCGTTCATAATGCAATATATATGTAGCAACATTTATTTATTTTTATTATTATTATTATTGGGGTGATTTAATTGATTCCACTTGGGACTTGCCGCAAGGGCCCTTCATCCTTATGTATAGCCTGTATTGGTCGTAAGTTGTGGGTGGATAGAGCGGTGGCTCCTCCGCGGTGATTAGCTCCTCCGCCGGCTTAATGACCATATCGCCCCTCGGATTGTAGAAGAACGCCAGTGACACCCTCTCTCTCTCGGAATTCACTATCACCCTATGCTCCACACTTTTGTACTTTGCATTGCTCAAAACCTGTATCAAGTACCAACAAAAATAAAATATAATCATTCATAATTTAATTTATGGTAAATTACAATCGCGCCCCTGAAGTATGGTGTATTTACGAAAAATCCTCTCGTCTTTCCATAATTACACCCACCCCTGAAATTTGTAGATTTCTCACATTAAAATCCTTTTATAGGGTCTGGATGTAAGAAATTTACAAACTGTAGGAGCAAAATGTAATTTCTCAAAAAAAAGGTAGTTTTTTTTCTTCGTGAATAAACTTTATCTCAGTGGTTGTAATATAATAAAATTGTATAAATTAAACATTTATTAATTGTTATATAGACCTGAAGTTGATCCCCTAAGTTGACAATGAAGGCATTCGGCAGGGGCGTAACGGTCAACCAATTCTCGCCACGTCGGACTTGTAGACCGGAGACATTTTCGTCGGGGAAGAGAAGGGTCATACCGCCCGGATCGGAGTGAGACGAAAGGCCCAACGTGAGATCGGGCTGAGGGCATTTTGGGTAATAATTAACCCTCATGCATGCACCTAATCCCTCTCCTCCAAATGCTTCTAGAAGATAGTCTTCTTTCAATCCAAGGTTGATTGAGAAAATCTTCATCAGTTTTCCACACAGTTCAACCACCTGTTTGCTGTATTCTTCCACCAATTCCCTGCAAATTAATTAATTAATTAATAATGTTTATTAATTTTATTTATTTTTTGGTGTTAAGACACAAACATGTGTTCATGATATATGTTCCCCAAAACAGTAAAAACCGAAAGGGACCATGTTACATGTACAACATGAGTCATGACACATCAAATCATAAACATCTAAAAATTACTACAGTCGGGATTAGAAAAATTCTATTAATTTAACGAAATATAAAATTAGCAAGTTAATAATTTAACACATTCTCGCCAAATTAGAATCGAAAGAATTTATTATTTAAGTGAGGTTATTAATTTATCGAGATTGTACTGAATCATATATTAAATTATACAGTCACATGTATTTTTCGTCGAAAATAAATTAAATTTAAATAAATTAGGTGAGTGGTTATTAATTTATTATTTATTAACTATTATAGGTACAGTTATATATGTATGTATATACCTGCATGAAACAGGTGGCGATGGCCACTTGTTCTGGTCCCTCAGCCGCGCCGGAAGATAATTGAGGAAGAAATAGTCGCTCCAGTCAAGTGACATTCCCTTCTCCACGCCGAGGCGGCTGCCGTAACCCTCGTACGTGGTCGGAGAATTAGCGTACATCTGCTTCTCCGCCAATGGAAGCTCGAAGAACTCGCGCCAAACCTCGCGCGTGCGCCGCATCAGATCGTGGCTCACCCCGTGGTTCACCGCCTGGAAGAACCCCCACTCGCGGCAGGCCTCGTCGATCTCCGCCGCGGTCTTTCGCCGGAGATCCGCGTCGCCGGAGTACAGCCCAGACACGTCGACGACCGGAATGTTGACCACCTCGCCACCGGCGGCGGCCGACGGTGAAGCCGGAACGAAAATCGGCCGGTCAGAGGGTTTCTTGACGTAGCGCTCCGGGATTGCGAGTAATCCGCTGTCGGACAGATGCTGGACCCGGATTACGGGTTCGGGCCAACTTTGCACGCAGTTCGTCATTCTCCTCTGTGTGTGTGAGAGAGAGAGAGATAGATCTAGAGAGAGAAAGAGGTTAGAGAGAGAAACTGTGGGTCGTCTAACTGATATTTAATGTGAATTAAAAAGGTGATATAGTGAACGTGAATTTGATGGGTATAGTATATAATGTGTGAATTGATATTGAAAAAGATTGAAGAAAATTAAAAGAGGTAGCTATCATGTAACCCTTGTGTGATTATAAATGTATGTATAGATTATAGATACAGAACATGTCTATACATAAATGTAATTATTATTATTATTGTTTTATGATATATGGGCAGAGGAGGAAGAAGAAGAAGAAGTAGTGTGTGTTGTGTGTGACTCGACAGTGAAGAGACACACAGATAAACGTGGATATATATAGAGACAGAAAATGACGGGACCATATTATATTAATAATATTTAATTCTGATTTCCGGCGCCGTGAAGAAGTTGAATTCATACTCTATACATGCATTAATAGTTATTTAATTAATTGTGGGGAGAAATGCATAAACAATTACATTAATTCACCCATATATAAAATCGAGATTTTGTATGTATATATTGATATTACATGTATTATTATTTGGGATTTTTGCTTTTTTTTTTTTTAATAATCTTTGACATTTTGGTTCAAGTTGTGATAATTAGGTTTTCAAAAGTCTGGTCAACGATTTTCGTGACAAAGTTATCTATGCTTGTAATAACCTATTCGTCTTTTTTATTTTTGGTTT